CATGTGTAATCCAGCTACTCAGGAAGCCAAGGTACTTCAGGCCAAGGCCAGAAGTGAGCTATGCCAACCAGGTACCTGCATTACATACCAGTAATGGGGATGTAACTCAGTGATAGACCACCCTGGGCGGGTTCAATCTGCAATATATTAATTAATTGATTGATTGATTGATTGATCGGTGTCATTTCACCTTAGACAAAATTATAAGAAACTAAGTCCCAAGTCACAGTGACATTATTCAGAAACTGAAAATTGTGAATCTTTGGTCTCCAATGACTTTTTTGTTGTTGTTTGTTTTATTACTGGGGATTGAATCAGGGCCACTTAATCACTGAACCATCACCAGCCCTTTTTAGTTTTCCTTCTGAGACAGAGTCTTGCTAATGTTGCTTAGGGCTGCATTTGAACTTAAAATCCTTCTGCCTCAGCCTCCAGAGCCTCTGAGATTACTGGCATGTACTACCACACGTGGCTATTTTTAAAAAGTGACTTTTTAAAAAAAATTACATTCCTACTCTGTCTGCATTCTAATTCATGATTTTCTGAAAATTAATTTACCATATTTTCTTTAATTTACCATATTTTCTTTCTTGGTTTCTGAGTATCCCTCATTTTGTTCTCCTTTATCACCAGTTTTTTTTTCCTTTAACTATTTTTATTTTGCACTATAAAAAAAAACAATAACAACCAGTAACATACCCCTTTTCTTCACATTCACATGGGTTTTAAGAAATTATTGCCTTTTCCTCTGGAGAAATAATCTACAGACAGAAAAGTAGTACCACACTGCAACAATCTGCAAATCCCAGAATTCAGTAGCTTGAAGACAACCCCCAGGGGCTGGGAGGAAAACAAGTGTCACAAGAAAGGAGACAGGAGCACACAGAAGGACAGCAAGCAGAGAAAGGACTGTTTTCAATGCCACTGACCCAGAAGACACAGCAGGTACCCTTTTTCTCCAGGCACCCACTGCCACCTCAAAGGGTGATTTTTGATCTATGGTCTGAAAACCCTTTTCAAATGACACCAGAGTTTTAAGAAAGTGGCAACGAGACTGGTTCAAGTATGATGAAGAATCATGCCAAAGTCCAAGGTCAGGAAAGAACCCACAGTGAAACCCAGAAGAGTCAACATCCTGCAACTTCAACCAAATGTTTCCGTTGGACCCAGAGGGCATCTCACAAACATTTCAGGGTTCAAATCAGCATATCCAGGGTGTCCCTACCAATCCGGCAGGGTAACTTTCCTGACTAGGCGGTGATCAGCTTATACCCGAAGCAACAGAGAGACTGAGACTGTCAAAGTTCAAAAAAATAATATGGAGATTGTGCTTCCTTTCAAATGAATTGGCTTCCTAACTAACTGCCTTTTCTCCTGGTCCAGCAACTTCTCTTTCTTGTTGCTGTAGGTGTTTATTGCCTATGCTTGAAATGAAAAGGCGAACTTTGAGGTGCAAGGACTAGGAGGTCCTGAGAGGG